GATACAAGCAGGAACTAACTGTACCAACCGGGGTGTTGATTCAGATAGGGCTTCTTAGGAAGGCACTTTGTTCCAGGCTCTGAAAGGATGAGACCATGCACTCCAGGTGTGTGAGGGGTGTGCAGGGGTCTCTCTTCCTAAATATGTACTTGTGTGGGAGACAGCAGTGAAGTAGGATCCCCATCACACTGACACTGGCTTGCGGAAAGATAAAAAGAATCCTTGATCACCAGTCATGAACCAGGCGTGGTCTGCATATTCCGTGTTCATTGCCTCATTATTCCTCAAAATACCATTGTATGAGGGAGTAGTTACCTCTCCTTTCCCAGGGAGGGATCTGATTGTCAGAGAGCAAACATGTAAGGGCCAGATGAGGAGTGGGCCCCAGTACACCTGTGGTGGGCACTGAGGTCCCATCCATGATGCACCTGCCTGGTGTCAGAGACACCTGGGAACCTTCCTCCCAAACAAAGAAGGCCAGTGTTGAAAGACAGAAAATGTGATCGCAAGTGAGGCTCTGGGCACATCAGGTTGCAACTACCAGCACAGAAACAATCTCTATGAATTAAACAACAGCACACACACACACACATCCCTCACTATACCGTGTAGTGCCATGCATTTAGAACTCAAATAAAATACAAGAGCACACTTAGCAAATGATTCTGTAAATATTTCAGTACCTTCCTCCCCTGCTGCTCATGGATAAATGCAGGAACCCCGTTCTAGAACAGGGAGCACATCTTCTCCTCTCTTTTTTTTTGTTTTATTTAAACATTTATTTATTTATTTATATAAGCACTGGGTACAGTCAGAAGCGCGGGAGGGTGAGAGAATTCACCAGAGCCAGAGCGGGGAACAGAGCAGGCAGACGGACGAAATACACTGCTGAGGGGAGGAGCGGGCGGCAGGAGGGGTCTGCGCACCATGTGGGACCCTTGCCCAATGCCCAGGGAGCGAACCAGTGCTGGAGAGGCTGCGGGCAGCTTCACAGCCCAGTGTTCAACTGCTGCACCACCAGGGAGGTCCCACATTTTCTCTCTTTACCCTCTACAGTCCCTTTCCTTACCTGAGTTGAGTAGCCAGAGGTGAACTGTGGAGCAATGCAGGAAGGAGGGCAGATGTTTGAGGTCAAAGGACTGATTAAGAAGCAGATCACACATGCAATTTGCAGCAACATAGACGGCGCTGGAAGGGATCATGCTCAGCGAAATAAGCCAGAAAGAAAAAGAAAAATACCGGATGGTCTTACTCATAGCAGGAATCTAGAAAATTTAAATAAGAGACCAGGAAAAAAAATAACTATAAGAAAGTAAAAATCAAAATCAACAAACAACTATGAACCAGAGACACTCTATGGGGTGTGGGGGTTGGGGAAAGGAAGGATTGGGGGCAAAAAAAAAAAAGAAGCAGATCACACTGAGCTGTAGTCCCCACATGCTTTATGGGGGACCAGTTGGTTTTTGTGCCCTGGGGCAGAAGGGGAAAAGAATAGGGCGTCTTTTTCCTCTCTCCAGTTCTGTGTCACTGTCTACTATCCCCTTTCATTCCCTTTCCTTATCCTCTCTCTGTCAGAAAAGAGAGGTGTCACAGACATATTTGTGAGGGAACATTCTTCCACCCCCATCACACATAGAACCACATGGAGGCACATCTGATGTCAGAGCACAGAGACACACTCTGCTCACCTAGAATCCCTGTCCGCTCTGGCCTGTGTCATTTCTTGATACATCAGGTACCTTATCAGTGTCTGAGTCCTCAGCTCCTGCTGGGAAGACCAGCAACAAATAGTAAGTAAACATCCTCTGTGAGTCCATCACCTCCCGAGCTCGCTGTGTCTGTCCCCGAAGCCAGAGAATAACCAGGATGCACCACTTTATAAATCACAAAGAGGACCCAGAAGGATCCCTCAGCTCCTGGCTAAGGAAAAACAGTGGTTTGACTGTCTCATTTCCTGTCAACCCTGGGGAGGAGCCTGCATAGAGGCTGGAAGGACTGAGCTACTTGGATGCACCTGAGCCGTGTTGAGATATCAGGGGGCACTGACCTCCTCATAGGCCACCTGAGAAGGAGGATGGCCTGGCCTTCACCTTCATAGGTTGCATCTTAACCCCTTGTGCCACCAGGGAGGCCCAGGAGCTATTAACATTAAGCCGAATTCATAAACCAGATTTAAATGGATAGCGACTTTCATTTCTAACAATTGATCTCTTAAGAGAGGAAGATAGCATCAAATGTTAGTAAGTGCACATTGAACATTTTAGGAAAGTTGTCATATTATTTTTCACTCTCACAAGCATGAGAGTTTGTATGAGAGTTTGAATTCCCCAGTATACACTTAAACCGGTCATTGGTTAACCTTCTGGTAGATCTGGTCAGTGGGGTTAGGGCCAGTTTTGTAAATTTAACATTCCACTGGGAATGCAGTAATGATGCTTTGGGACTTTGTGTTTACTTGATCTCTAATAATGTGGAGCATCTAATCATGTGGCAAAGCATTTCTTCAAATCTTTTTGATTGAATTTTTCCATTGGATTTTTTTGCCCTAAAGCAAGCCTTTTTGAAAGTTTCTCATATATTTTGATTTCAAGTGCTTTACCAGAAATATTAATTAAAGATATTTCCCCCATGCTTATTGTGTGGTATTCTTTTAAAAGTATTATTCAAAAAACATGAGGAATTTCAATTTTCACTACCTTCTTAAGCAAATTAAAATTTTTTTTTTGCTTTTATGAGAAACCTTTGCTTAACCCACATCACAGCATTTTATCTATTTATCCTTCTAAAATTTTAATAATTTGAGATTTTACTTTTAATGTATTTTCTATTTTAATAATGTTACATTTTATACTCAGTGCAAATTTTGGCTGGTAGTTCATTTTGTGGATTGTGGATATTCTGTTCCTGCAATATCTTTTGCAGGACGACTATTTCCTTCACTCTCTCTCCAGCACTTGCTCCTCTGTGACATGTCGGGGTCTGCACAGTATGAATCTGTGTATGGGCTGTGTTCTGTTCCATTGACCTATTTCTCCATCCTTATTCTAACATGAGTCTGATGTGATTACAGGACTTTTTTTTTTTTTAAAGATTTATTTATTTATTTATTTATTTATTTATTTATTTATTTATTTATACAAGCACTGGGTACAGAGAGAAGTGCGGGAGGGTGAGAGAATTCACCAGAGCCAGAGCGGGGAGCAGAGCAGGCAGAAGGACCGAAGCATACTGCTGAGGGGAGCAGCGGGCGTCAGGAGAGATCTGCGCGCCATGTGGGACCCTCCACTGGTGGCCGGGGAGCAGCCGGGGATCGAACCGGCGCTGCAGAGGCTGTGGGCAGCTTCACAACCCAGTGCTCAATCGCTGCGCCACCGGGAGACCCTGATTACAGGACTTTTATGATCAGGTCATACATGAGGGAAAGATTCATCTCGTCCTCTTGTCACAACTAGTATAGCTATTCCAGAAAACTTTCATTTTTACATTTACCAATATTATGAATATTTCTCTTGTTCTTCATTTCTCATGAATTTTTAGTTGTCTCACATAATTACCACTTATATGTAGAGAATTACCCTTGGGATTTCCATCAGTATGATGAGTTAGAATTTTGTTTTTCTGCAAATTTCTTTATTTCACATTCACATTTCAGAATATATTCCATGTTGATACAGCTTACTGAAAATTATTTTACTGAATAAAGTTATCATTATTTCATCTTCTGATTTCATTCAGCCTTGTTACTGATATTGCTTTTCTAAGTTAATTCTTGAGGCTTAGTTTGGTGATGATTGGTCATATTCAGTCTCTCTCACTTTTGACCCTCCCCTCTTCCTGGAAAGTTGGTTGAGTTCACTCTTCCAGCTCCTCTGGCAGGTGAACAACCTGGAAGGTTTCCAAATCAGCACATCTGACCACCCCACACTTAACATCTGATGCTTGATAATAATTTAAGAATAGCCTTTTTTTTACATGAGTGAGTAAATAACAGGAAATTGGAGAAAATGATAAAAGCAAGTAGGAAAATTAGGAGCATATCGTCACCAGAATAGTGACATTCATTTTATATGGTGATATATAAAAGTCTGTATCTGTATATTTATGTGAAAGTATCATGTGTGTGTATATTATATGTGTTATTTATATATTGTGAGGTCATATTTGTTAACTATAAAATATACCCCATTTACACAATTTATGCATACACCTCACAGTAAGTATTGCACTCATGGTATTATAATCATGGTTTATTGTGTTTTTCTCACCCATCCTTTGTGTTACTGTCTAACATGTGTGCACAAAGTGGATTAATTTGAAATATATAGCCTGATGAAGTTTTACACAAGCATATATCTAGTGTTACTACCACCAAATTAGATATGGATATTTCAAGCACCCCAGAAAATTTCTGAGAAAGAACTAAAGCATTTACTGATAACAGAAAACTTCCAGGATTGAATGTACGATTTATGAACGTACGATTTTATTAAAGGAAAGTCAACTAAAATAAAACCAATTTAAGAGGAATAGGTGCTATGAGTAATCAAAAGTTTATTGTGGGGGGCCTCCCCTGGTGGCGCAGTGGTTGAGTGCTGGGCTGCGAAGCTGCCTGCAGTCTCTGCAGCGCCGGTTCGATCCCCGGCCACTGGGTGAAGGTCCCACATGGCAGGCAGACCTCTCCTGCCATGCCCGCTGCTCCCCTCAGCAGTGTACTTCGGTCCTTCTGCCTGTTCTGCTCCCCGCTCTGGCTCTGGTGAATTCTCTCACCCTCCCGTGCTTCTGACTGTACCCAGTGCTTGTATAAATAAATAAATAAATCTTAAAACAAAAAAAGTTTATTGTGGGAATGTCAGTGTTCTAAAAGTTGGAAATTTAGTTTATATTAGCAAAAATTTTTACGATATTCTTTCTGAGCCCTGGTTGCATTGACTGTGAGGATCCCTGGGAAGAAAGGCTGGATTTCATGGAGTTGGTGGGACTGAAGTCTTGCCATCTCAATTCTGCCAGTTAACATCCTCCCTATTCCCCAACCACAAGACTCGTGATGTTGCAGCTAGGCCTCATGTATTCCAAGAATTGTTAAGCGAGTCAGAATTATTGAGTCAGTTTGGTAATGAAAGCTGGTGTATGTCAGCAGAGAGAGTGATTATTAACATATTCATCTTGAGTCTTTTGACATAAGGAACTTAGCTCGATTCACAAGTGTTTCCAGGACACGTTTCATGTCTTTGTTTCTCAATCTGTAGATGAAGGGGTTCAGCATGGGGGTGACTATCATACATCACAGAGGCAATTATTTTTCTATTATTGGACATTGATGAGGACGAGAAAAAGTAAACTTCTGCATTGGTCCCATAGTATAAAGACATAACGAGGAGGTGGGAGCCACAGGTAGAAAGGACTTTGAAGAATTTCTTAGCTGAGGGGTCTCTCAAGACGGTGGTCCAAATCCGGACATAGGAGCCCAAGGTGCCACTCAGTGGTAGGATGACGAGCGTTCCTCCCTCAGTGAGGATGAACAGCTCATTGAGGGAGATGTCTGAGCAGCTCATCTTTAGGAGTTCAGAGAGGTCACAGAAGAAGTGGGGGATGGTATTGTCACCACAAAAGGATAGTCGGGCCAAGAGCAGGGTGTGCAACAGAGAGTGGAGACAGCAGAAGAGCCAGGACCCAGCTACTGAGGAGACACACAGCTCCTGCCTCATGATGGTGGTGTAGTGGAGGGGCTGACAGATGGCCACGTACCTGTCATAGGCCATCACTGCAAGAAGGAAATTGTCAAGACAAACAAACAATAAGAAAAAATATGTCTGAGAAATGCACCCTGCATAGGGGATGGACCTCAGATTAATGTGCATGCTCGTCAGCATCTTAGGGACAGATGAGAAGCAGACATCAGCGAAGGCCAAGTGGCTGAGGAAGAAGTACATGGGGGTGTGGAGGCGCGAGTCCAGCCTGATGAGCAGGATGATGAGCAGGTTCCCCAGCACTGTGGTCAGGTATATGCCCAGAAACAGGGTGAACAACAGGCCCTGCTGCTTTGGATGGATGGGGAGCCCCAGGAGGAGGAACTCAGACACGCTGCTCTGTTTTTCCCAGCGCATGTCTGCTGGGAACGAAGGAAACTCTGTAAAGCAGGAAGCATGAATTAGCCAAAACATTACAGCGATCTCCTTATTTCATGACATGTTGTATAGGATCTGGTCCTCTGTTTATTGCTCTCGAGTATTGATGCCTGAAAACCAGTCTGTTACATCCGGGCTTCCATGTACATGCCATCCTCACAAAATAACAAGATTTCCTCCCATATAAATCAGAGAACATTTTTCTTTATTTTTAAGTATGTTTTGAACTATAGCCAGTCCCAGGCACCACACAAAATGCTGAATTCATTACAATACAGAGGAAATTAAATCTCCGCATATAACTAGTTTACATATTTATATTAAACCAAGTCAAATGTCAATAGCCAGAATGATAAGGAAACATTATTGGAAAAGCCTTCGTAGGCACACAGGACATTTCCTCTTACAAAGGTGAGAATCTCTCTAAAATAGAATAAAAGACCTTATGGTAAAATTGGCAGAATCCTTACTGATCAAAGATATTTAATATTCCTGGGCATCTAAAGTCAACCCATTTCCCAAGCAGAGAATAATAATAATATGTGAAATATTTGTCATTAACATATACTATGTCAACAGTATGTCAAGGAGCTTACACACACTTTATATTTAAATCTCAACATTTTCTTAATTAACCGGTATTATTACACCCATTTTATTGTTGAGGAATAAAACATACATTTCCTTGTGTGTAAAGGAGCATCTCTACTAAGTAAAAGCAGTGAAATGACAAAGTGTATCTAGCCAGAATCCATTATTCCATCACTGTTGTGATTCCATCACGACATCAATCCATCACTGATGTCATAGCCCTCACTGGGCAAGCTGTGTGACCTTGTGAACTCCTTTGTCACTTGTTGACCTAAGAATATTCAGTCATATTGACATGTAATAAAAGGGGCTTTCACACAACTTTTACTTCCAAAATTAGATATATATCTAGAGTCTGCATGTTACATTAGGAAAGTACTATTCACTTCATTGTATAAATGTGATAAAATGCTGGATAAGGATACATTGACCACATCTCTGCTGGTGAATTCCAGATTCACCCTTCCTTTGGCAGTGAGGTTAGAGTCATAGTTACACACACACACACACACACACACACAAGCTGAAGTTATAGTTACACACACACACAGACACACACACACACACATTGACTCTCTCAAGCAGGGAGCAGGACAGCAAGGCCTCCTCAGGGACCATGAACTTGTTGAGGGCTCTGCTTATCTTGGTTCATGGCCACTGAGAGGACACTTTCTGGACCCCCATGTGGAGGCCTGGCTGCCCACTGACTTGTGCTGTGTCAGCCTCACTGAGAAACAGAGGAGACAAGTAGGAACCAATTGGATCAAGTGGGACCTTGATTGGGGCAAGGCTTGAGGAAGGTGCTGGATCCCATGCCCTGGAAGGATCAGGCCATGTACTCCAAGTGTGTGAGGGGCGTGCAGGGGCCCCTGTCTTAGGCTTCTACTCATCCTGACCCAGACAGCAGTGAAGTGGGAATCTACATCACTGACATTGGCTTGGGGAAAGATAATAAGAAACCTTGTCTTCCTGCGCAGCATTCATGAGCCATGCATGGTGCGCGCCAGTCTGTGTGCATTTCCTCATTTAGTCCTCAAAATTGTATTGTATGTGGGAGTATTCACCCCGCCTGTCCCAGAAAGGGATCTGAATGTCAGAGAGCAAATGTGTAAGGGTCAGAAAAAGACTGGACCGCAGTGGGACCTGCTGCAGGCACTGAGGTCACATCCATTAATATGTGACACCTGCCCAGGGGTGGAGACCCGAGTGAGCCTTCTTTTCACTGCAGAGCATGGTCACTCTGAATGGACACTAAGGTGTCAGTAATGAGGAACCTGGGGCCCCCTGCAGTGGGAGGGACCCCACAGAAACATCTGTATATAAACTTCAACACACACCCCCACACACCCACACTAAACCTTGGCGTGACATGCATATATATAATCATAAACAAAATACAAGATCACACCTAACACTTGCCTCTGTAGCAATTTCAAGTCCTCTCTCCCTTGCTGCTCATGGATAAATGCAGGAACCCCTTCTCCAGAACGGGGAGCACATCTTCTCTCTTTACCATCTACAATCTCTTTATTTATTGTGATGAGTAGCCAGAGAAGAACATATGGGAGTTATGCAGGAGGGAGGGCAGATGTTTGAGATCAAAGACTGGTTAAGATAATACAAATCACACTCAGCAGTGGTCCCACTTGCTTAATGGGGGCCCAGTTGGTACTTGTGCTCTAGGACAAAGGTGAGAAAAGAATAATGTTGAGTCCTTTATCTCTCTCCAGCTCTTTCTATCTTATGTCTATTTCCTTTTCCACCTCTCTGCCTTTCTCTTATGTTTCTCATCTCTTTGCCTCACTTCTGTCTTCAACACTATTTCCTGTCTCCTCTTCTACCCCTCTCTCAAAAGAGCCACAGCAGTCACACACACAGAAACATCGCCCACCCCATCACACACGGATCGATGTGGAGGGCACATCTGACCTCTGAGCACAGAGACACACTCTGCTCACCTAGAATCCCCGGCCCATCCAGGCTGTGTCATTCCTTCTTACATCAGGCACCTTCTATTCAATGTCTGAGTCCTCAGCTTCTGCTGGGAAGATCAGAAACAAAAAATAAGAAGACATCCTCTGTGAGTCCACCTCCTGAGCTTGCTGTGTCTATCTCTGATGTCAGAGAACAGCCAGGAGGACACCACTTTATTAACCACTGAAGGAAAAGGACAAGGTCCCTAAGCAGCTGTTTAAGGAAAGGCCGTCGCTTAATTGTCTGAAGTTCCTAGCAGACCGTGGGGAGGAGCCTGCATAGAGGCTGGAGGGACTGAGCTGGTGGAGTCACCAGAGCACGTGAGAGGGTGTCCAGGTATCAGGGGGAGCCTGGGCTTCTCTTTGCCTTTGCTTCCAAACAGATAGTATATGGCATGACTGGCGTATGCCGGTAAATGTCAGCTGCCATGGTCATTGTCTTTGCATATTCTGAGAAAGGTATCTGTCTGTCTATCTATCTAGCTATCTAGCTAGCTAGCTAGCCAGCTATCTATCTACCTACCTACCTGTGTATGTATCTAATCTTTGATGTTGATACCAAATTCAAAGCAGTTGAATGACTCAGTCCATTGATGAATAAATTCGTCAAAGTTATAAAGACCTACTCCTGTCCTGAGAACAACCTAAGCTACATCACAACACAACTATGTGATATGAATTTCAGCTTCCCTGCCAGCACAGTTTTTTATCTGTTTAACTTGGTAATAGACACCCCCAGGCTGCATGGCTCTGTGCTCCTCTAGACTCTTCTGAAAGTGGCCGCATGTGTCGTGCCCTTTCAAGGTTCTCCCCTATACACCTTGCCCAACTTAGTTTACACCCCCATTTTTTCAATGTTTAGTATATTTTATTTTATATAATTCTTACATCATTTTTCATTTTTGCACAATGTATGCATTTTCATTTTGGTTATATTCCCCATACAATTCCATCCCCCTTATTTTGACCTTAATCCCTCCTCTCCTCCCCTTCCCCCCGTAGTGTGTCTCTGGTTTATAGTTGCTTGTTGATTTTGATTTTTTCTTTATTATAATTAGTCTTTTTCCTGGTCCCTTATTTAGGTTTTCTAGATTCCTGCTATGAGTGAGACCATGTGGTATTTTTCTTTTTGTTTCTGCCTTATTTCGCTGAGCATGATCCCTTCCAGCTCCACCCATGTTGCTGCAAATTACATGAGTTTATCTTTTTTGATTGCTGAGTAATATTCCATTGTGTATATGTACCACATCTTCTTGATCTAGTCATCTATTTTGGGGCATCTGGGTTGTTTCCAAAGCTTACCTATTGTAAACAGTGCTGCTATAAACATAAGGGTGCAGGTGCCCTTTTGAATTAATGTTTCTGTGTCCTTTGGGTAAATACCTAAGAGTGGAATTGCTGGATCATATGGAAGCTCTATCTTTAGTAGGTTGAGGAATCTCCGTACAGCTTTCCATAGTGATTGGACCATTTTGCACTCCCACCAGCAGTCACACCCCCATTTTTGATTATGCATATAATCTGCCCTAGAATGGGACACAGTTCCTTCCTATGTCCCCAAAGTCAGGGCACCATTTGGAGGGAGGCTGTGCCACTAACCCTTCCCTGACCCACCCACCTGAGGCTAGCACAGAGCTGCACACACAGGGGGTTCACTGGACCTCAGACTCTGAAATGCAACTTCTCTAGTTCAAACAGAAGGATTGTAGTCTCCAGAACAAGTATCTTGTCTGCATGTAGTTTTCATTCTCCATCTTTTATCTTTGGGTCAGGGAAAGAGAGTTCAGAGAGACCAGGGATTTTTTCTTAGTTCAAGTCTCTTCCTACTTTACTTACATGGAACCAGACTGATTTATTACAGTCAATTGGTCTATTCAATGAGCGATCATTCAAAAGCTCCTAAAGTACATTTAAAAATAAAACAAAATATCAAGCAAAAAAAAAATCACAGAATGATTTTTCTTCTGATTTCTAGACATAAGAACTTGGTAGTCCTTCCTCATTCAGTGTTTGACAAAATCACCTGTGAAGCCATGTGTACCTGAACTTTTCTTTGTATGGAAATTTTAATGAAAATTAAATTTCCTTTATAGATACAGAACTATTCAGGTGAACTGCATCTCATTCCTTTTTCTTTGTTTATAATTGATACACGTTAAAGTGTAGATAGTTAAAATGAGTCGTTTGTTCAGTTTTGCTGTATGCATTCATTCCTGGAAGAATCACCTAGTAAAACAGCAATTCTCCATCACCCCTGAAGATGGCCATGTCCCACATTAGACCCTTACTGCCCCACTTCCCACTTTACCTCTCTTCTAACCAGGCAACCCCTGATCTATTTACTCTAACAACAGTTTACTTATTCTAGAAGTTTCCATATGGGAATCATAGTATGTGGTATCTTTTGGTGATGATTTTTATTAGCATATTTAAGATTCATCATGGTCTCTATATCAAAATTCATTAACTTTATTGTTGAATAATGTTTCATTTGTACAAATGTTGGTTTGCACTGGGTTATTTCCTGTTTGACTCTATTAACATTAAGCTGAACATTTATAAATCAGTTTTTTAAATTTATATATGTTACAACATTATTCATTATTCATTTTTCTTCAGTTTGTTTTCTCCTCTTCCACCAAGTCTCCCGTGAACCATCACCATAGTCTCCTGTACCCTTCCCGTCATTGTATAAACCAGTTTTGAATGGACATAAACTTTCATTTCTAATGAAAGAGTGAGGTGGCTGGATAAAAAAATAAGTAGGTGGTCAATATTGTACGAAATTACTACTTCTTTTCCAAGTTGCCACATCATTTTTCATTCTCACAAATAGTGTATGAGAGTTTGAATTCCTTCATAACCCTTATATTGGTCAGAGTGTTTAACTTTAAAATTCTAGTATATCTGGGAAGAGCGGGTGAGACAGGAGAGGTCTGCTGCAACATATGGGTGTTAGCTCCTTGCCTGTGTCTGAACTCCTGCCTTAGTGGTGCCAGTGCTGAGACTTAACCCCCAGATACGAGGGAGGCCCACTGTCACTTTTGACCCTCTCACCTCTTCCTGGAAATTTGGTTGAGTTCACACTTCCAGCTCTTCTAGCATGTGAACACCAGGAAAGTTCCCAAATGAGCACATTCTAATCACCCCCACAGCTGTTAACCTGATTCTTGCTAACAATTTAAGTAAAGGCTTTAGTTTACATAAATGAGTCAAAGACAGAAAATTGAGGAGTAATGAAAAAGCAAGTAGAAAAATTGGGGAGCATTTCTTCACCAGAACAACATTCATATTATATAGTAATATTGTGTAAAAATTGATCTCTGTGTATTTATGTGAGTGTATCATATCTGTATATATTACATGTTTTATTATCATATTGCCAAGGTCACATATATTAACTATAAAATACACACTCCACAATTTAGACCATTAAATGTACACATATCATCATAACTATTGACTCATAAAATCATAATCATAGTTCATTGTGTTTTTCTCAACCCTCCCTTTTTGTGTTAATGTCTAATAGGTGTACACAAAGTGTATTAATTGGAAATGTATAGCCCGATGAATTTTTACAGGGGCATATAGCTATTGCTACTACTACCAATTAAGATACAGAATATTTCAAGTACCCCAGAGAATTTCTTATTTTAGAAAGAACTAAAGCACTTATTGATAGCAGAAAACTTCCAAATTGCATCATTGTTCATATTTATTAAAGGCATGTCAACTAAGATAAAATCAAAGTAAAAGCAAATGAAGTTATGAGTATTCAAAAGTTTATTATGCAAAAGTAAGCATTCTAAAATTTGGAAGTTCAACTTACATTACCAGCATCTTTTATGATATTTTTTCTGACCCCACCTCCTTCCGTGCTCTGTAAGGAGCGAATAAAAGAAAGGCAGGGATTTCATGGAGCTGGTGAAACTGAAGAACTTTCCATTCTCATTCTGTCACTGCACATTCTCCTCACTCTCCAACCCCAAGATCTGTGATGTAGCAATAGGGATCATCTAATCCAAGAATTATTAAGCAAATGTCAGAATCATTGAGGCAGTCTGGTTAATGAAATTGTTATCTGTCAGTAGAGAGAGTGATTATTAACATACTCATCTTGAATCTTATGACATAAGGAACTTAGCCCGATTCACAAGTGTTTCCAGGGCACGTTTCATGTCTTTGTTCCTCAGGCTGTAGATGAAAGGGTTCAGCAAGGGGGTGACTACCATATACATCACAGAGGCAATTATGGTTTCATCACTGGAGGTGGATGAGGAAGAAAACAGGTAAACTTCTGCAATGGTCCCATAGTATAAAGATACAACAAGCAGATGGGAGCCACAGGTAGAAAGGACTTTGAAGAATTTCTTAGCAGAGGGATCTCTCAGGACAGTGGTCCAAATCCGGATATAGGAGCCCAAGATGCCACACAATGGCACGAGGATAATCATCCCTCCCTCCATGAAGATGACCAATTCATTGAGGGAGATGTCAGAGCAGCTCATCTTAAGGAGTGTAGAAAGATCACAGAGGAAGTGGGGGATGGTATTGTCACCACAAAAGGACAGTTGTGTGAAGAGGAGGGTGTTCAACAGAGAGTGGAGACTGGAGAAGAACCAGGATGCAGCTACTAATGAAACACGCAGCTGCTGCCTCATGATGATGGTGTAGTGGAGAGGCTGACAGATGGCCACATACCTGTCATACGCCATCACTGCAAGAAGGAAATTGTCAAGACAAACAAACAATATTAAAAAATATATCTGGGAAATGCATCCTGCATAGGGAATAGACTTCTGATTAGTGTGCAAATTTGTCAACATTTTAGGGACAGTGACAGATGAGAGACACACATCATTGAAGGCCAATTGGCTGAGAAAGAAGTACATGGGGGTGTGGAGGCGGGAGTCCAGCCTGATGAGCAGGATGATGAGCAGGTTCCCCAGCACTGTGGTCAGATACATGCCCAGGAACAGGGCAAAGAACGCATCCTGATGCTCTGACCAGATGGGGAGCCCCAAGAGGATGAACTCGGACACTCTGCTCTGATTCTCCCAACTCATATTGCTCATGTCTCTGTGGGAATAAAGGAAACAGGAGAGGTAGAAATCTGGAAGAAGCCTAAAAGCAAAGCAACGTCCTCCCTACATGAGGATGTTTATTGTTAACTCGACCTCTGTTTTTTGCTCACATCTGTTGAGACTTGCCTCAATACACCGCTTGTTGAGTCTATCACAATACACCACTTGTGGTACATAACACTCACACAATATCCTAAAGTTTTCCTTCCATGGAATGGGAGGATATTTTTTCTTTATTCCAGAATTATTTTTTGAATGACAACCTTGTCCCAGATCTGACACAAAGCACTGAGTTCATCATAGTGAACAGAAATGCAAAGTCCTAACACTCTAGGATTGGGTGCCATTATATTGTGCTATCAAAATCATAAACTGGTATGACAGGAAAAATCATGAGAGAAGCAGAACACAGACTTCTGTACTTTTCTCTTCAGAACATAGTAACTCTCTAAATAAGAGTAAAAGAAATAAGAATTGGAGACAGGCACAGTGACATGGCAGAATCCTTACTGATCAGAGATATTTAATATTTCCTTCAACACAGTATCCACCCAAGGTTCCCAAACCAACCTTAGTAATAATGTCAAATATTTATCATTAATATACACTAAGCACACATTAGCGCTAAGGTTTTACATACACTTTTTATTTAATCCTCATCATAGCACTAATTAGCCAGCACTATAACATCTGTAACTGTGAGGAGCAAAAGACACATTGTCAATGTGTGCAAAAGTGCCCACTCATAAGTACAGCCAGTGATTGACAACATAGATCTGAGCAGAGTCCATCTGCATGAATATCAAATCCCTCCTAAGAATAGAGAGTATCTCTGAAAATTCAAATATGCCAAGTGACATTATTTGTCACTCCGTTGGTCCAATACTTATCAACCATCTTTACCATTGCACAATTTACAATCGGCTCTCACAAATGGATCTGGCCCTGTGCTCCGGGTGTGTGAAGGGTAGACAGGGCCCCGTTCCTAGCTTCTACTTGTGTGGGAGACAGCAGTGAAGTAGGATCCCCATCACACTAACACTGGCTTGCAGAAAGATAGTAAGAATCCTTGATCACCAGTCATGAACAAGGCGTGGTCTTCATATTCCATGTTCATTGCCTCATTATTCCTCAAAATACCATTGTATGAGGGAGTAGTTACCCCTCCTTTCCCAGGGAGGGATCTGATTGTCAGAGAGCAAACATGTAAGGGCCAGATGAGGACTGGGCTCCAGTGGACCTGCTGCGGGCACTGAGGCCCCATCTATTATGTACCTGCCTGGTGGAGGAGGCACCTGAGAACCTTCCTTCCAAAACAGAGAAGGACCAGTGTTGAAAGATGGAAATTGTGATCCAAGTGAGGCTCTGGGGACATCAGGTTGCAGCTAACAGCAAAGAAATGATATCTATGAATTCAACATCAGCACATTTACACATACACACACGCACACACTCACTCACACACATGCACACACCCCCCACACTGAACCGTGAAGTGCCATGCATTTAGAACTCAAATAAAATACAAGATCACACTTACCAAATGATTCTGTAAAAATTTCAAGTCCTCCCTCCCCTACTGCTCATCGATAAATGCAGGAACCCTGCTCCCGAGCAAGGAGCACATCTCCTCTCTTTACCCTCTGCAGTCCCTTTCCTTACCTGAGATGAGTAGCCAGAGATGAACCGTGGAGGGAGGGCAGATGTTTGAGATCAAAGGGCTGTATAAGAGTCTGCAGATAACATTCAGCTTGGTCCCCACGTGCATTATGGGGGACCCAGTTGGTTATTGTGCCTTGGGGCAGGAGAGAAAAAGAATAGAGTGTCATTTACCTCTCTCCAATTCTGTCTCTGTCTACTCTTTCCTTTCATTCCCTTCCCTTCCCTTCATGCTCCCTCTGTGAGAAGAGAGAGGTCACAACACATATATTTATGAGGGAACATTCTTCTACCCCCATCACACACAGACCCACATGGAGGCACATCTGACCTCAGAGCACAGAGACACACTCTGCTCACCTAGAATCCCCGTCCACTCTGGCCTGTGTCATTTCTTGTTACATCAGGCACCTAATCAGTGTCTGAGTCCTCAGCTCCTGCTGGGAAGACCAGCAACAAATAGTAAGAAAACATCCTCTGTGAGTGTATCACCTCCCGAGCTTGCTGCGTCTGTCCCTGATGCCAGAGAATAACCAGGATGCACCACTTTATAAACCACTGAGAGGACCCAGAAGAATCCCTCAGCTCCTGATTAAGGAAAGACAGTGGTTTGACTGTCTCAGTTCCCATCTCACCCTGGGGAGGAGCCTGCATAGAGGCTGGAGGGACTGAGCTCATTGGAGGCACCTGAGCAGTGTGGAGATATCAGGGGATGCTGACCTGCTCACAGTCCCACCTGAGAAGCAGGATGAGCTGGCCTTCCTCCAGCATGAGGAGCCAACACCTATTCAGACAGCACTGGATGCTGGACCTGTCACTCATTTGTTATTCATCCTGTGACCTCCTCCCACACTCTCCTTTCACCTCTTTTGCTATACGCGGGCAACCCCTGACCTGCAGCTAACACTGGGTTATTTTCCCTTTGGAGCTGTTAACATTAAGCCGAATTCATAGACCAGATTTAAATGGACATAGACTTTCATTTCTAATGAGGGATCCCGAAGCGTGGGAGAGCAACATCAAATGGTAAAAAGTGTGCAGTCCACATTTTAGGGAAGTTGTCATATCATTTTTCACTCTCACATACAGTGTATGAGAGTTTGAATTCCCCAATATACACTTAGATTGGTCAGTGGTTAACATTCTAGTTGGTCTGGTCAATGGTGTTATGGCCAGTTTTATAAATTTAACATTCTACTGGGAGTGCAGTGATGATGCTTTGGGACTTTAATTTGCATTTACTTCATCTCTAATAATGTGGAGCATTATTGAGTATAATGATTAGATACTCATGTCTGTATTATTTGGCGAAGCATTTGTTCAAATCTTTTACCAATTTTTAAATAGATAATTTTGCACAAAGCAGAGCCTTTTTGAAAGTTTTCACATTTTTTTTAAAGATTTATTTATTTATTTATTTATTTATTTATTTATTTATATTTATTTATACAAGCACTGGGTACAGTCAGAAGCGCGGGAGGGTGAGAGAATTCACCAGAGCCAGAGCGGGGAGCAGAGCAGGCAGAAGGACCGAAGTACACTGCTGAGGGGAGCAGCGGGCGGCAGGAGGGGTCTGCGCGCCATGTGGGACCCTCCTCCGGTGGCCGGGGAGCAGCCGGGGATCGAATTGGCACTGCAGAGGCTGCGGGCAGCTTCGCAATCCAGCGCTCAACTGCAGCGCCACCGGGGAGGCCATTTTCACATATTTTGATTTCAAGTGCTTTATCCAATATATTACTTTAAGTTATTTCCCCCATGTTTATTATGTTGCCTTCTTTTAAAAGTATTTTTCAAAAAATCATGAAGTCCAATTTTTAGTACCTTCTTATACGAATTAAAATTTTTTTTGCTTTTTTTTTTTTTGGTGGGCTCCTCGCCAGCAGCCAGGGAATGAACCAGTGCTGCAGAGGCTGCGGGCAGCCTCGCAGCCCAGCGCTCAAATGCTGCGCCACCAGGGGAGGCCCAAAATTTTTTTTCATTTAAAAGAAACCTTTGGCTAACCCACATCACATCATTTTATCCTATATGTCCTTCTAAAATTTTTATACTTTGAGATTTTATTTTTAAAGTATTTTCTATTTTAATAATGTTACATTTTATACTCAGTGCAAGTTTTGGCTGGAAGTTCATTTTGTTGACTCTGGATATTCTGTTCCTGCAACATCCTTTGAAGAAAGACTATTTCCTCCACTCTCCAGCACTTGCTCCTCTGTGATGTGTCGGAGTCTACACAGTATAGATCTATGTATGGGCTCTGTTTTGTTCCTTTGACCTATTTCTACATCCTTTTCTAACATGAGTCTGACTTGATTACAGGACTTTTATGATCAGGTCATATATGAGACACAGATTCATCTCGTTCTCTTGTCACAGCTACTGTAGCTATTCCAGCGTGTTTTCATCTCCTTCAGGAAACTAGAATCAGCTTGTCAGTTTTCACTGAAAAAAAAGAAAAAAAAAATCTGGTAGTTGTTTTATGGGATTGCAATGTTATCATTGATGCTCTTTGTGCAGAAAACTAACATTTTTATGTTTACCAATATTATGAATATTTCCATTGTTCTTTATTTCTCTGTGAATTTTCTTGTCTCATATAATTACTACCTTATATGTAGAGAATTACCCTTGGGATATCCATTAGTATAATATGTTAGAATTTTGTTTGTTTTTCTAAAGGTTTCTTTGTTTCACAGCACGTAGAATATCCCATGTTGATAGAGCTTACTAAAAAATATTTTTACTAAATAATGATATCATTATTTCCTCTTCTGATTTCCTTCAACCTTGTGTTGCTGATATTGCTTATAAGCTAATTCTTGAGGCTGAGTTTGGTGATGATTTGGCACATTCATTCTCTATCACTTTTGACCCTTACCTCATCCTGAAGAGTTGGTTGAATTCACTCCTCCAACTCTTATAGCAGGTGAACAACAAGAAAGGTTTCCAAATCAGCACATCTGACACCCCACATCTATATGCCTGATGCTTGATAACCATTTAAGAAAAGCCTTTTGTTTACATGAATGAGTAAATGACAGGAATTTGAAGAAAATGATAAAAGCAAGTAGGAAAATTAGGAGATCTCATCACCAGAATAATGACATTCATTTAGATGTTATTTCATATAAATATTTATGTCTGTATAGTCATATGAAAGT